CGGGCCTTAACGCAAGTTTGTTGCAGACACGGGATGATGAATCGCTCGCTCTATCTCTTCTTTAGATCTTATGACTCCGCACCGTGACGTACTGAATCCCGCGGGAGCTCGGGCTCGATAAATAAAGTGGATTTAAGTACGCCATCAAAGCGCGTTCAGCTCCCTGAAAGAAATCATCTTGATGTTACAATTAAGTTCACTGTAGCTAGTCGTCCGCCGTCAGATTTCTCCGCCCATACACGTTCGCGAAATCCTTATAGAAGTTAGTCACGCTGAAAACGGCGTGGGTCAGCTTTCAAAAACACACGAGAATGCACCGATATAAGCGTCTACCAGGATAAAAGACTCCCACTGCAGGATACCTCGCTTCTACGTTATTAATCTTTAATGATAGATGTCCCTTTGACATGCTGGACATCAATTTCTCCTTGAGGTAGCTGAGGTGGCAAAGAAAAAAAAAATGACGAAACAACTTTTAAATCCGTAAAATTCCGCTAAAGCCTAGAGAATTAATTAAATTCGCAAATGTAATTTTCACATATAATATTTACGATCGATTTTACTTGATTGAAATTTATGCATCGGCCTTCCTCTAGATAGCAACTGTAACTGTCCCGGGTATCTTCGTAACTGACTTTTTAAATTAGAATTCCGTTCAGGCGGAGCGCGTGTCAAATTAAATGAAAAAAAACCAACGTTTTGTTTTACGGTACAATTGACATCTTTTCGCGCTTGGTTATACCGCAATTTTCTCGCAGATTGCACCGTACGTTCTGTACAGGATGCTTTATCCTGACATTTCCGTTCAGGCTTGTAACAGGGCCCGTTCATTCGTTCGTTCGTTCGTTCGTTCGTTCGTTCGTTCGTTCGCTCGCTCGCTCGCTCGCTCGTTCGTTTGCTCGCTCGTTCGCTCGCTCCGGCTGGCATATCTATTTCACCGTTTGCTCCTAAGGGTACTACGAGTCCCAGAGTATTAATAAATTGCGCTGCATTGTATTCTGCTCTATGCCGGTTCCCAGCACCTCCGCTGCCTGCACCACTATCGCCGCCGTTCTCATCCGTTTTCTCGTCTTTTTACTCTCCTGCCCGCGCGCAGCTGCCGCGACGAGTATCTCCCATCGGGATTACCGGCGGCGCGTCGGAAAACGCGAGCGAGAACGCGACGGCACTATCGCTTCCCAGAAAGCTACCGGGATGGATTTAAGGGATTTCAGGGAAGAATCGCCAAGGTCGACGCGGATCGGAGGATTTGGCTAACGCCCGCGAGTGACGCACGATTCTACGGATGCCGGAAAGGAACGTCGGTCATCGCCGAGGAAACTCCGCCGTCTTTCGCTTGATTCGTTTTATTGGAGTCTCCTGTATTTGGGATTAATGTCATAATCTGGCATTCATTCCCGGTTCTGGGAACCGTGTCACGTGAAAATCTCGACTTTCGATCGGGAGGGATTATCATGGCGCTTCTTTCGTTAGTCTCCTTTTTTTCTTCATCTCGATTTCGCGTGATTTTTAACTGACGTCGCCTGCAGCCGTTCGAGCTGAATCACCCTCGAATTGAGTGGATTTCTTCACAATGGAAACGCTACAAAGGCGACGACGGTCTAAAGATTCACGCGGGAATCTCTACGCTAATCGCGCCTGAAACGGATCAGTTCAATTCGCCAATGTCTTTCTCGCTTTATTGCATCGCCATCCAGCTGGCGGAAGTAAGGCGTTAATGGGGCGGATGACATAGAGCGAGAGAGGGCGGGTCGAGGGGGACTATCACTCATGCAACTGGTAACAAACGCACGGTAAAACTCTCTTCTGGAGTCGAGTCTTCGCGACGACGGAACAAAAGATCGCGTCAAAGTTGGGCGCTTCGTCATTTTTAGTAGCGACGACGTGACCTCGCGTTTACGTCCTCATCCTCGCGAAGAAGGAGATTCGATCATCGGTAATACTTGCAGGAGAAAGTCCACCTATTCGAGATCGTTAAAATTTTCGTACAGAGGGATGTCGTTTCAAGAAATTTATGAGAGTATAAAACATTTTACAATCACTAATAAAAAATGGAAACATATTACAGCCGGATAGAATCTGTGACGAATTCTCGTTACAGAGTTAACGGAAAATTTGTTTTAAATATTCTCTAAAAAATTTTTTAAATTCAAAACTCCAAACTCAATATAATCAACTTTAATCTAATTTTCGTAATTGGCTTTCTTCGACTATCCATTATTTTTGTATCGGTCGCGTTAAACCCGTCGTTTACGATACGAGACGAATTATCGTTCGGCAGAAAAACTTTGCGAGTGTGCGAGCTGAAGCGGAAAAGTATTTTGCACGATACATCGCGTTGAATTTAGGGTTAAATATCGTTGGCGCCTCGTTTCCGCGAAATAATCAAGAATATCAAAATTCCGCATGGTCGAGCGAGAATTTCGGCAGGCGCCATTCGGCCGCGCTTCGGAAGGAGGAAGCCCTCGAGCCAGTCCTTGACCCGCCCTTGTGAAATTTGCGTCATGGAACCAACGGACGTGCCGCGCACAAGTTGGACGTAAAATTGCCAGCGGAATACGGAAATATGCGAACGGGCCTTCCGGCGTCATCGCTAGCCGAGTTATAACGCCCGCTAGTGAAACTAGCGAGGCATGCTCCGCGGAATATCTTTGAGAGATAGCGATAGTATTGCATCTCCTTCCTTTGCAATACTCCTTTTTAGCTACATGTGTAACGTAGCTCGTGGCCGGCATCCATGCGAGTGAAATTTTTTGATCAGATTGAAATTGACTCTTGGCTCGCAAAAATGCTCGAGAATTCGAGAATGGAAGCTCGCAACAATTGAAAATTAATAGCTTTCCGCAAAATTCACTTCAAAACAAGATTGACTAGTAAACAAGATCTTAATACTCTTCTTAAGCTGTGGTAATAAAAAAACGAGTTAATTCACGAGTCAATTTATCGATTGGCTAAGAATTCAATTAACGAAAGAGGAAAAAAAGTGTCTGAAATTGATCATTTTATTACATGAAGTAAAAGCAAATCCACGGTTTTTCAAATAAACTCACACGATATACATCGCTGTTTCTGAAGAGATAAAAATGGCTAAAGTGAAAGAACTGGGGCAAGTAATCCTCTTTCACACGAAAGATAACTCGAGATTGAGAGGAGCAAGTGATGCACTTTGCCACTCTTGGGCTACTTAGATCCTCGAGAAGTCCGAAGAACGTCGAAGTAGCTGTCTCGAGCTCACCGCGAAAATTTCGGATAAAGCTCGATGGTAAAATAAAGCGCGCGCTTTTCTTTTTTGCGAATTGCGCCCGAGCTCCTCGCGAATTGCTCTTCAATTTTCGAGCCGCGGCTCCGGAGGAAGGCGCCGTGAAAGAATTTCAAGTAGGCGACACGTGTAAAGCATCGGCGGTGTAAAAACAGCTTCGGGAAGTGATTCTACTTTGCGGCGCGATGCAGTTTTGGTTGATTCCGACTAAGTTCCGGAAAAACTCCGCCGACGAAAGTTGCGCCGTTTCGGAAGTCGATTCTTACGACTTCCTCTTGAAGGGTCGAATCATATCAGAGTAATGTGGAAGCTACGTCCGTGTGAATTGTTTGTGGAAAACACTACGTTATATGATTTAAATACGAAAAAAACACGGAATAATATAGAATAAGTGAAGCAATATCACGCGTATCACCTTTAATTTCTCGAGCTAATTTAAATTTATTTAAACCCAATGAAAAATCATTTTTTTTTCTTTAAGATCAATTAGATCACTTATTTTGAAAAAATGTGTATTAAATTATATAAATACATACGGAAATAATTTAAAGAAATTTTTTAAGTAGAAAGAAATACAATTTCATTCAAAACTTACTGAATGAACGAGAAGAATAAAATGATATCCGTGATGCTATTAGTTCTGCTTAATATCCTTTGTATTCTTTGTCTGTTTAACATCCTTTATATTCTTCTTGTTAAGATTAATTAATGATAAATGTCTGGTGATGTAATTAAGGTTCACAATCCTTGAATGGAGCAACGAACGGTTTATTAATTATTTTTGATACGTGCACTTATTGAAGCGTTTAGAATTATCGACAGTCATTTCCATCAACCAAATTAAAACGTCGCCACTGTATAACGTCGTATAGCGTTGTATATACATATAGATATAATTATATCTGGCGTTCAATAAGCTGCCAATTATCTCTAATGAATCGCGTTTAACTTCCAAAATGAGAGCCAATATCGTAAGCGCCGTTGTGCGTATCGTTCGTTAATGTTAATTTTCGATTCAGTAATCTCTGCTCGCTAAATCCAAAAACAAAACCCTTTGATATTCCCATTGTCGGCAAACAATATCTGAAAAATCAGTACTTCTACGGCTTTCTTGTCACGTTCGTTAATTTTCGTTATCGCTATAACGAAAGAGTTCCTCATATACAATCCATCCTTAATATTATTAACATTAATGAAACACAGTACATTGAAATCATATAATAAATAATAAAATTATACTAATAAATGCGATATTAACTGAAAACTCTGTAATAAATAATTTTTCAATAACATATGTTCTAGAATTTGTGTTAATTAAATTTTGTGTGTTATCGTGTTTCGTGTTGATTGGAAAAATTTAAGAAGATTGAAATGATAATTTAAAGACTAATAATTTAAAGGGAATTACACGACGTCATATTCACGGTGATTATGTCGTCCATCACGATCGTCGGGAGAAACATTTATCGTCTGCGGAAAACACGGCGATGAATGTAGACGGGATTTAGCAAGTTCCGCCATATAATTCAGGAACGACACTTCGAGAGTTACTGCCAAACTTGAGTTGAAACGATATCGAGTCACAAGACCATCGAACCGCCATCGAAGAGTCGCAAGAGGGAAACTTGCGAGTCTTGCACCCTCTTGCTTCCTCATGTTTACGTCTGCGCGAGAACGGTGCCCCCCCCTCTCGAACCATTCGAATTCCGGACAATAAGAATGCTGCATTTCTCGGTTTCAGATCGGTGCCCTGAAGAATTATTATCTCTTCTCTCACAACCGACTGCACAAGAGGTCTCTCACCGCGAGCGAGCCGCATCACAAGGCGCTCAGGGATGAACCGCGGGTAAGTCTCGACGCACTTCTATCTTTGTATTCTATTAATTAAGAGACATTCATTACATGAGAACGAGATTTGCTTTATACTCAAAGAGTAAGATATTCGTGTTCGCGAGAGCCGTGGTAGATTTACATCGGGTGAAACGTAGGAAAAATTTAATTAGCTTTGATTATCATATTAAGAACTTTGTTTTTACTAAAAAGTAATCGTGATTAACATAAAATTTTCGCGTGAAGAAACGAGATAATGGAATGCGTGATCGTAAGAGGCAAAAGCGAATATAGTTAGTACAAAATAATTGTAATCGTAAATAATATATGTATCTCGTAAATAAATAGGAAAGCAGACGTTACACAAATTTATTGAACAATCGGCGCGTTAACGAGTTGTTTCATGATTATAACAATTGTTCAAGGCAGAAAATACATTGCTATGAGCAATCATCGGTTAAATCACTCGGTAAAACTTGAACGCTTAACGATCGGTCAGCGGAAAAGCCGCGTGCGTTTCGACGAACAGCTTAATTGGCCGATTCTGGTTAAGGCACGTTAACGTTCGCGTTTTGGTGACCGAGCTGGACGTTTGGCCAAAATGAAAGAAGACTAATGTAAAATTAATAGAATTACATGAATTACAACTTATAAAAGGACAAAGAGAGGGAGAGAGAGAATATTTAAATGATTTTCTAAAATGCAAAATTTTGAATTTTCAATAACTTTTTGATAACCATAATAATTAAATATTTACATAGTTGCATTCATTTTTTTGTTATGTATCTTACCTTTACTATTAAAAAATTATGAAACTGTTTTAATCATGCTATCTGGTGTTATTGGAAAAAATGCTTTTTATCTTTGCAAGATTGACAGAAAGAAAGAATGATATTAAAAAAGTCTGAAAAATCAATAGAACTGATATTAGAAAGGATGAGTGGCTGAGATATTTTGAGAACAAGCTACAATATGTATTGCGTAAATAATTCTGTCATGAAAGTGTTGTCTTTTTTCTCAATATGTAACCTTTGCGCTTTCAAAAAATCATTTTTCAGTTTGCGTGCAGTTTTCTATCACTAAATATTCTGTCACTACGTTCTGACAGAACGTTCAACGGTAATGGAACACCTCACAAAGGATCGTAAAATGTTTCTTCCTTTTTTGATTGATCAGAAACATATTTTTGTTCAATTTTCTGTTCTAAATTTAACGTAGTAAACGTTGAACTTTAGTATCTATGAAAAGAATCATAGACGAGGACAAATTTGTTTTATACAACTTTTTGAAACAAAATACTTCTTCTATGACAGTAAAATATTTGCAATATTTAGTCCGTTAATTGCATTCTATTCATATTATTTATATATTTTTCCAGATATTGTCTTCTTTGATGAAAAGAAATGGTATAATTTTTAATGGTTACATTATTATTCAGCAACAATAAATCATAAATCTGCCAGAGTCGTAAATAGTTTATGAAACTCTCTCCTTGTACCTGTGGATTTTTTCCGAATTTTTCACTATAATATCACTTTAGTACTCGCGCGGGAAATACCTGGTGGTCGCTTTAAGTGCACTCTCGGAGAAGCCTCGTCATCCCTTCTCTCACGAGGACGTGGCAAAATATCTCACTGTTTCGAGAGACAATATTGTCGTCGCCGCGTTTTCCGCCATTGTCCTCGTCTCGATAAGCTCCTTCTCGCGGGTGAAAATTACGGAGTAGAAGGGCAGGCGAAGTGGCCGGAAAAATATCGTGCTGAAAAGAGAGGGGGAAGGGGGAAGGAGAAGGGACAGAGAGAGAGAGAGAGAGAGAGAAAGAGAAAGAGAAAGAGAAAGAGAAATATACTTCTTCGCATGCATCGCGAAGGATCGTGCGATATAGCATTAATTATGAGCTATGCTCGGAGAACACGTTATCGCGAGGAAAATGCCATTTGCACGGGGCGAACGTGCGGGGGTAACTTCCGTGCGAGATACATTTTTTTCCGAACGCGCCGCGCTCAGAGATCGCCGGGATTTATGACTGGCAAAGCCATGGATACGTGACCGGAAAATCTCTCTCATTCCCCCGACGATCGTGACTGGCTGCTTATTAATTGTGCAGCACGCTTAGTTAACCGCTTAATTGTTCGTTAAAAAATGACGAGCTACGTTTTATACTTACTCACGTCAGGAAAGGTATAGCGTGGCTCATATCGATGCGAGCGAAACTTACTGCGAATAACGGAGAATTGTAGACACCTCAATTAATTTTTCTTATTATATGCATCTAGAAAAGTATCACATGAAAATCTCTGTCTGGAATATTGGACGAAAATAATATTACGTATAATATCTTTACGTTCGTAATTTCGCTCTCAATTTCAGAACTTTCTCTAATGGAATTATTGGACGTACTGACTGAATTTGAAAATTACAGTTCCCAATAACTTTCGTTAGATATTAAGATAATTTACTTTATCATTTTCGTCAATAGGTCGATTTATACTGATGTTTAGATTTTATTTTTTTTATTTCATTTTTTATAAAGGAATAACTCTTGACTATTTTAAAGCAAAATGGATAATTCAGTGACTTATTTTATCAAATCATTGTATTTTTATTATATAAATCTACATAAAATATATAATTATTATATCAGTAAAAATGTATACATATTGATAATTAAAATTAACTTTAAGCAAAATAATTTCTTAAATTAAAACGATAACGCGTGAAAGCTTTTTCTTGAATTATTTCTTGTAATATTTGAAATTTCTACTTTTCTCTACATCTGTTTATAATTCATAAGAGGAGATAACACCATCTGCTATTCTACTGCACGACTGTCATAATCGTTTGATTTTATGAGACTTTTAGCATGTTCAGTAATCGATTTGAAGCAACATATGTACCAAATTTCTACCTCACACTCATTATTAGTTTGAAAATTCAGATATTTCTACATTGGCGCGCATCTTCAGTACGACAGTAAAACTCACGCGATTGATCCCGGCGTATTTGGAATCTCGCCAAAATTGCGTGCGATTCGTGAATCTGTTGGTCGGGCTTCGGATCGCATTGCGTGTTCGGATTCGGAACAACGATATGAATGAAACGGGAGGAACGCGGCGCACGCCAGAATTAAAGCTCGTTCCCCGAGGCATTTTTCGGTGATTGTTCGATTTATGACTCTCGATTGAGTCAATCTACCCTGGTGAATTTTCCAACGTCGCAACGTCGCGATGTATTGCTATTTAGCCAATCAATGGGATGATAAACAACGATAGTGCTACGAATACTTAATAAAAGAAGAAAGACAATCTGATTTTTTTGTCATTTTTTTCTCTTGATTTTTAATTTTTTTTCTATCTATATAATTTTTAATTATCTTTTTACCAAATAATTCAACGAAATAATAAGAGAGCTACCAAATTAATTATAATAATAATCGTGGAACATTTTGCAAAAATATAAATCATGGATTTCCAAAATTTTGATAACTTTGGAAAAGTAAATAGATAAAGATAATAATGATTTAGCATAGGTACAGATACAATAAATTTTACTTTTATTTAATCCTTTTAATAACTATAGATATTACTGTCTCAATATATCATTGCAATTATATTTAATTATATAAAATGTACTATAATAATTTCACGGGAAATTAATAATTCTTTATGTAGTAAAGCGCCGAAATGCCTTTCATATTTTTGATAATAATGTTTAACTCGCTCGTATCATTAACGAGCCCCATATTTTCGCCTGGCAAAAAACCGACTGATGACATCGATGAAATATTCCGGTCACTTGGGAAAATTTGCGACGTTACCGGCTTACATTAGCATGTAATGTTGCGTGAAACTTAGTGTAACAATGTCAGAGATAACAAAACGTATGGCGGCTAATGGCCGGGGCCCGCCAAGTTATCCAAGTTTATAGCGGGATGACGTGGCTCGAAGTCGATCATAATGGTAATGCAAGAAGACTCGTTGCAAATCCGGTATGCTTTCGGTTGCAGGTGCACTGGTTCCAGCAGCAGCACGAGAAGAAGCGCAAGAAGCGCGACTTCGGCGCCGCGTCCTACCCGTTCGCCGATTATCAGCATTTCTTCAGCGATTTTGGTCCGCGTCCGCGACAGGCCGCCCTGTTCCATCGCCAAAGAAACAGAGGCGTGCCACTTCAGAACCTGTTCACGGACCCGCTCTTCAAGGAACAATGGTACCTGGTAAGTACATCCCGCCGTGCGGACCGCCGCGACAGGATACGTGACAAGAATCGAACGAGCCACTGCTCGGTATCGAAGTCGCTCGACACTTCCGATTATTTCTTTCTCTTTCTCAAGAAGAGTTTATCGATGATGTCAGTTCGAAGAATTTCACGGCGCCGATACTTTCTGAAATCTCT